CCGATTTTAAGACTTAATAAAAGACTAAATATTTACCAAAAAATCTTGACGAACCTAGCCTACACTTTTGGGGAATTTGAGGGACAAAAACAAGCCCACCTTCCAAGTGAGCTGGTCGCCGAAACGAATTTTCCTCACCTCCCGATCGAACCGTCCATCCATCTGAAGCAACGCACTCCGGCCGTCCACCGCCCGCGCTTATCCCAGTGAACATCGGCATCCTCACATTCCTCACAGCACCAGCACGACTCCACTGCCTGAATCTGAATGGCCGTCCACGGCATCCTCCTCCTCCTCCTCCACCTCGCCACGGTTCTCCCGCACGCCGCCTTCTCCCCGGACTTCTCACTCTTCCTCGCATGCGGCGCCAACTCCTCCGTCTCCTTCCCGTCCGACTCCCCCGCGCGCACCTTCGTCCCGGACATCACCTACCTGTCGCCAGCACGCGCCCAGGCAGTGTATGCCACCTCCACCCCGGCCTCCTCGCCAGCCCTGTACGCCGCCGCGCGCGCGGACATCTCGTCCTTCTCGTACCGCCTCGCCTACCCTGCCTCGCCGGAGGCGCCGTCATTCCTCGTCCTGCGCCTCCACTTCTTCCCCTTCTACCCCGCCGCCTCCACCGGCTCCTCTCAGTATATCATCAACATCTTGTCCGCGCGCTTCACTGTCTCGATCCTCAACTCCGCCTACCCCCTGCTGTCCTCCTTCAGGCCGCCGGCCGCCGGGGTGGTCAAGGAGTTCTTCGTCCCGCGCGGCGTGTTGGGCGGCAATATCACCGTCACCTTCACCGCGGACGCGGCCGGCTCCTCCGCTTTCGTCAACGCCGTCGAGCTGTTCCCGTCCCCGCCGGAGCTGCTGTGGAACAACACGGCGACGCCGGTGGGCGCCGCAGTGAGCGACGACATGGAGCTGTGGCAGCAGCAGCCGCTTGAGACGGTGTATCGCCTCAACGTCGGCGGGCCCAAGGTGACAACCGGGAACGACACGCTGTGGCGGACGTGGCTCCCTGACGGCCCCTACCTCTACGCCGCGGCCCCCGGCCAGTCGGTGGTGAGCAACACCTCCAGCCCGATCATCTACGACGATTCGAACGGATATACAAGGGAGGTGGCGCCGGACGTGGTGTACAAGACGCAGCGCGCGGCGAACGTGACGGACCTCCTGCAGGCGACAACGCCGGTCCTGAACTGGAACGTCACGTGGACGTTCCCGGCGGAGCCGGGGTCCCGCTACCTCGTCCGCCTCCACTTCTGCGACTACGGGGTGCTCAGCTCCGTCGTCGGCGTTGGCATCGTCTTCAACGTCTATGTCGCGCAAGCCCTTGGCACCAGAGAGCTCACGCCTAAGAACCGGCCTGAGGCGAGGCAGTCGAACGAAGCCTTTTACATGGACTACGCGGCCAGGGCGCTGAGAGCGGGGAACCTCACCGTGAGCATCGGCTGGTCGCCGAAAAGCAGCGGAGGCGGCATACTGAACGGGCTGGAGATCATGAGGCTGCCGCCCGTCGATTTGAGCACGAGACATGGCGGGAGGAAGAGAATATTTGTCATTACGGTGTCGGCGGTGCTCAGCGCCGCCGTTCTTGCTTGCGTGGTGTTAGGCTTTTTCGCCGTGCCGTACACGAAGGACGGCGCCTCCGGCTGGGCTGAGCAGTTGAGGAACCTGTGGTCCAGAGAGCGCAAGACCGGCGGGATGGAGAGGGTGAGCACGAAGCTGCACATCTCGCTGGGGAAGATCAAGGCCGCCACGGACAACTTCCACCAGCGCAACCTCATCGGCGTGGGCGGGTTCGGGAACGTGTACAAGGGCGTGCTCGGTGACGGCACGCCCGTGGCGGTGAAGCGCGCCACCCGCGCCTCGCAGCAGGGGATGCCGGAGTTCCAGACGGAGATCGTGGTGCTGTCCGGCATCCGGCACCGGCACCTGGTGTCGCTCATCGGGTACTGCAGCGAGCAGGCGGAGATGATCCTGGTGTACGAGTACATGGAGAAGGGCACGCTGCGGAGCCACCTGTACGGCTCCGACGCGCCGGCGCTGTCGTGGAGGCAGCGGCTGGAGATCTGCATCGGCGCGGCGAGGGGACTGCACTACCTGCACAGAGGCTACGCGGAGAACATCATCCACCGCGACGTCAAGTCGACCAACATCCTCCTCAGGAGCGACGGCACCGGCGGCACCGGCGGCGTGATCGTGGCCAAGGTGGCCGACTTCGGGCTGTCGCGCGTGGGGCCATCGTTCGGGGAGACGCACGTGAGCATGGCGGTGAAGGGCAGCTTCGGGTACCTGGACCCGGGCTACTTCAAGACGTAGCAGCTGACGGACCGGTCGGACGTCTACTCCTTCGGCGTGGTGCTGCTGGAGGTGCTCTGCGCGCGGCCGGTGATCGACCAGAGCCTGGAGCACGGCCAGATCAACATCGCCGAGTGGGCGGTGAGGATGCGCCGGGAAGGAGGGCTCGACAGGATCGCCGATCCACGGATCGCCGGCGAGGTGGACGAGGAGTCACTGCGCAAGTTCACCGAGACCGCGGAGAAGTGCCTGGCAGACTGCTGGGTGGACCGGCCGTCCATGGACGACGTGCTGCGGAACCTGGAGTACTGCCTGCAGCTGCACGAGGCGAACGTCGCCGGGGACGAACTCGGCAACAGCGGCGCCGTCGCCCCGCAGCGACATGGGCGCGGCCTTCCATCGGTGGAATTTCGCCGGCGGCGGCGCGGGGCGGGGTGAAGGTGGGGCGGCCGGAGACGTCAGAACGGCAGTTGGTCGCTCGCACGCGAATCGTCGCTGTCCAGCACGCGGGAGCTGGCGCATCAAATACACCGCGCACGATGCCGTTTTCCTCCGCGCGCTGAACCAAGTTTGTCGGGCGTGATTATTGCGCGGCTGCCGGAGCGCCTGTTTCAGCCCTGCTTGCGCAATAAAGCGGGTTTTTTCTAGCACGCGGTTAAGATAGCGCGCCTGTTGAAGATGCTTTTAGGAGATCTATCGTGTATATAAGCTCATTATTGAACATCGTCAGGAAAGACTCGCAACAGAGTCAGACAAAAAGAAGTCCTATGGTCGGCCAAAAAGCGACTGAAATTTGTGTTGTTTTTTCAGGCAATTGACCAGTAGACAGCCCATAACACGTGTCTACATGGACTCGTTCTCCCCTTTGCTTCCCATTTTGATCCCCGTATTATTTACGGATGGATAAAAGCTCTTGGCCCGTGAGTTTACTGATGCTCGATTGCTCAGCTCGATAAATTTCTGGCTAGCTTCTCAATGAATAGAGTCACTCATTGTTAGTTTGAGCTTATTAAACTTAACGAGCTAACGAGTTTGACGAACAACACTTTAAGGTTGTTATTACTAGTACATCACAATACATATTCAGATATTCTTATTTTAACTTAGAGCAATTTATGGCATTTCAATCCATCTATTCAATATAATTGATCCATCCTAGTCTCTAGGAAGCAGCAAATAAACGCACTAACCCCTCTGATCACCATTTGTCTTTGTAAACATCATACCCGCACTCTTGCCTCGTAAGCCACGACACCTTGTAGTCGTAGCTAAAGCAAAATGGAATAATACATGTTAATGAGCGGCTCACGAGCTTAACAAGCTTAGAATGAATAGAGCGGAACATGATTTTTTTTCCTCGTTAGGCTTAATGAGGTTAAGAAGTTACATCAGTTTTTTTTATTAGTTGACAGTCTTAGCACATGTATATACAAGATAAAGCATTGGGAGGGACCTCGACTCTCGTTTACCCCTGGATTTGTACAGAACGAGTTTGTAGCTGGTTTTTAGCAAAACCAGTTTTACCCCGTTTTTATGGAATAATAAGTTTAAAGAAAATCATGTTTGGGGTTAGAAAAGTGCAAATCATGTTCTTCCTGTTCCATGTTTGGTTACAGACGGGGCCTATTCTATTGCCTCATAATATTCTTTGCACTTTTTTCTTTTCGTCCTTTGATTGACAATTCCCAAGGTACAGTTGTCAATTCCTTGTCGCCGATGCATCATGCAGCCACCCTAACTCGGCGGATCGCTCCCCATGTCTACTGCTCATCCTCTGCTCGCCTCCCATCAGGCCTCCATGATTCGGCACGCAGACGCCAAAGCTTCCTCTCAATGCGATTACCTACCGCCATTCTTTGGTCTTCCTACGAGCTCTGCCCGACGAGACGAGGTCGGCCTGCAGGCGTGTAGCCCCTCGACACCGGCAGCGGAGAGTTCATGCGAGTGCTTGATGCGGTTGGCGGTGACGCCCTCGGCGGTAAGCCACACGACGGAGCTAGTGTTGTGGCTGGAGGTCGGCTAATCACAGGAACGCCATATCGGCATGCGTTCCACACAGTCGCGACAAGGAGGACAGGAAGGACGAGCGTGAGGAGAAACGAACGAAGAAGAGAAACTGTATGGGATTGGGTATATGTAAATCGTGTTTTTGGAAAAACGACTAATACTCGTTTTTCTATAAACGCAAAATTCTGGGTTTTACGAGAACTGGGTTTCCTATAACCACGGTTTGTTACAGCGGCCAAACAAGGTTTTATTCTGTTAGTCTGTTTTCCTGGTTTATAGCAATCGGGTTTTGTATATTCTGCTTATCCAAACAACCTCTTAATTAGATTGTTTCCGTAAGTCTATCATTTTCGGCCTCTTAGTCCACTGATGACCACTTTTCTCGTGGGGCCAGCCGAAGCTGCAACCGAGATTCCACGAGGTCCTATGTGGTTGCGAGAAAAGCGCGTGCGTTGATTTTTGGCGACCCAATCAGCTCCACTCTCCAGTCCACCAAGCTCCCTCTTCCACACAGCTACTCCAGTCAAGTCCACCTTCCAACCACATCCACATGAAGCCGGGAGCGAATTTTCCTCCACAAATGGAACTCCACGTCCGAATCAACAAACCACTCCGACCGTGTCCACCACCCGCACTTGATCATCCTCACTTGCTCCGCTGGGATCGGGTGCACAGGACCAGCACGACTCCACTCCACTGCACGAATGGCCGTCCAGGCCATACACCTCCTCCTCGCCACGGTTCTACCGTGCGCCGCCCTCGCCGCCTTCTCCCCGGACTTCCAATTTTTCCTTGCATGCGGCGCCAACTCCTCCGTCTCCTTCCCGCCCGACTCCACCGCGCGCACCTTCGTCTCGGACGCCGACTACCTCTCTCCCGTGGACGCCCCGGCAGTGTCCACCAGCTCCACCCCGACCTCCCCGCCAGCTCTGTACGCTGCCGCGCGCGCAGACATCTCGGCCTTCTCGTACCGCCTCCCCTACCCTGTCTCTCCGGACGGGTCGTCATTCCTCGTCCTGCGCCTCCACTTCTTCCCCTTCTTCCCCGCCAACTCCTCCCAGTCTGTCGTCAACATCTCCTCCTCTCGCTTCGCTGTCTCGATGCTTGACACCTACGACCTGATGTTCTCCTTTAGGCCACCGGCAGCCGGGGTCGTCAAGGAGTTCTTTGTCCCGCGGGGCGTGTCGGGCGCCAACTTCACCATCACGTTCACCCCGGACGCCGACTCCTCCGCGTTCGTCAGTGCCATCGAGCTGTTCCCGGCACCGCCAGAGCTGCTGTGGAACAACACGGCGACGCCTGTGGACGCTGCAGAGAGAGACGAGATGGGCCGGTGGGAGGAGGGCATGTGGCAGGATGACCTGTGGCAGCAGCAGCCGATGGAGACGGTGTATCGCCTCAACGTCGGCGGGCCCATGGTGACTATTGAGAACGACATGCTATGGCGTACGTGGCTCTCCGACGACCCCTACCTGCTCTACGGGGGGCAGTCGGAGCTCAATTCGACCTCCAGTCCGATAATCTACGACCCGTCCAACGGATACTCAAGGGAGGTGGCGCCCGACGTCGTGTACCAGACCCAGCGCGCGGCGAACTTCGACCTCACGTGGATGTTCCCGGTGGTGCCGGGGTCCCGCTACCTTATCCGCCTCCACTTCTGCGACTATGAAGTTGTCAGCTCCGTCGTCGGGGTTGGCATCGTGTTTGACGTCTATATTGCGCAAGCCATTGGAACTCCAGACCTCTCGCCGACTGCTCGGGCAACTCAGTCGAACGAGGCCTTTTACATGGACTACGCGGCCAGGGCGCCGAGCGCCGGGAACCTCACCGTCAGAATCGGCGGGTCGGCGAAAAGCATCGGAAGCCGCATACTGAACGGGCTGGAGATCATGAGGATACAGCCCGTCGATTTGAGGTCGAGGGGGTCGCTCGCGGCAAAGAGAATCGTTATCATCACTATGTCAGCAATTGTCGGCGCCAGCGTTCTTGCTTGCGTGGTGTTAGGCTTTTTCGCCGTGCCATACACGAAGGACGGCGCCCCCGGCTGGGCTGAGCAGTTGAGGAACCTGTGGTCTAGAGAGGGGAAGGCCGGCGGGATGGAGAGGGTGAGCACGAAGCTGCACATCTCGCTGGCGAAGGTCAAGGCCGCCACGGACAACTTCCACGAGCGCAACCTCATCGGCGTGGGCGGGTTCGGGAACGTGTACAAGGGCGTGCTCGGTGACGGCACGCCCGTGGCGGTGAAGCGCGCCACCCGCGCCTCGCAGCAGGGGATGCCGGAGTTCCAGACGGAGATCGTGGTGCTGTCCGGCATCCGGCACCGGCACCTGGTGTCGCTCATCGGGTACTGCAGCGAGCAGGCGGAGATGATCCTGGTGTACGAGTACATGGAGAAGGGCACGCTGCGGAGCCACCTGTACGGCTCCGACGCGCCGGCGCTGTCGTGGAGGCAGCGGCTGGAGATCTGCATCGGCGCCGCGAGGGGCCTGCACTACCTGCACCGAGGATACGCGGAGAACATCATCCACCGCGACGTCAAGTCGACCAACATCCTCCTCGGGTGCGAAAACGACGGCGGCACCGGCGGCGTGATCGTGGCCAAGGTGGCCGACTTCGGGCTGTCGCGTGTGGGGCCGGCGTTCGGGGAGACGCACGTGAGCACGGCGGTGAAGGGCAGCTTCGGGTACCTGGACCCGGGCTACTTCAAGACGCAGCAGCTGACGGACCGGTCGGACGTCTACTCCTTCGGCGTGGTGCTGCTGGAGGTGCTCTGCGCGCGGCCGGTGATCGACCAGAGCCTGGAGCACGGCCAGATCAACATCGCCGAGTGGGCGGTGAGGATGCGCCGGGAAGGAGGGCTCGACAGGATCGCCGACCCACGGATCGCCGGCGAGGCGGACGAGGAGTCGCTGCGCAAGTTCGCCGAGACCGCGGAGAAGTGCCTGGCAGACTGCTGGGTGGACCGGCCGTCCATGGGCGACGTGCTGTGGAACCTGGAGTACTGCCTGCAGCTGCACGAGGCGAACGTCATCGGGGACGAACTCGGCAACAGCGGCGCCGTCGCCCCGCAGCTCCCGAGGGTCGTGAGCGTGAGCTTGTTGACGGACGACGTGGACGAGACTTGCTTGAGCATGCCCGAGGTCGACGAGAGCAAGGTGATCTCGCAGCTGAGCGCCCGCGGCGAGGGGGACGATGATCTGAAGTTGGTGCACCAATTGTAGATTTTTCCTTTGGCGTTCTCCTCTGCATCTGAACCCCATTTGGATGATGCTGCAAGCTTCAGAAAAATAGAACACCCTCTCCAATTTCATTTGTCTGACATCAACGTTCAGCACAGTGACATTCACCGAAGCGAGAAAAGAACTTGAAAAAAAAGGACTAACAGGTGTCTGAAAACTAATTTTTGGTTAGTCGCTATTTTACTGTTCTTAATTACTGCAAGGTCCCGCCCTGCATGCACGTGCTGCTGCCACGCTGTCTATCTACCCTTGTTTATACAATTATACTTCAATTTCCCTTGCGCGCCGCCAGTTCCCTCTCTCTCCGTCGGCCGCTCCGGCGGCGGGAGGGAGGGGGAACCTCGGGTCTGTCCGCTAGGTGGGTGTGTGGTACGGTTAGGGCTGAGGGTGACGCTGCCGAGGCCGTTCCGGTGGTGTTGCGTCGGAATAAGTTTCTCCGGGCCCCGTTCGCGCTCAGGTGAGGCTTTTGCCTTCGTCTAGGAGCCAGCGGGGTGGGGGATCCCCGGATCTCGTCGAGGTCGCGGGCTATGCTGACTGGAGGTCCATCGGCACTGGCGTTTGGGTCCTCAGATGGGCGTTGGATGCAGGGAGACGAAGACCCTTCTTCTTCCTTGTCGGTATGATTTGCTGCTGTTGTTTTTTTTCCTTCCTCTGCGCTGATGCTGGAGGGAGATTCTGCTTTGCCCGGGCGGATGGCCCGGCCGCGGTGCTGGACAAGTCGGATGACTCGAGTTCTCTTTCTTCCGGAAGGGACTTTTTCGCGGTACTCAAAGCCAAAGATGGCGACGGCTGTTGCTGGTGTGTTGGATTGATGTCCATGCCCTCTCAGCGCTGGTGTCAAGAAAGGAGGAAGCAGCGTGGCGGCAATTGTTCCGTGGTCGAAGATGATGACCTGCTTGCGCCTGGTTGCAGATCCTTCTGCTGCAGGGATCTTCTCTCAAGATTTAGGGATGATGACACAGAGCTCCGGAGATCTTCTTGTGTTATGGTTGTCTTAGGGTACTCTAGGTGTTCGTGATTCTTTATGTTTGCGTTTCAGTGTGCTTGTAAGTGTCAACTACTTTGTACTGTTTCGTAATTTGAATGCAGAGAATTCTAAAAAATTAACACGACCATGCATGAACTTCACGGACAAGATGACATACTCCTTCGGATTTATGGTATATGGTAAGCAATTTAAATAATTCAAAAGAAAAAACATGAGCTGCCCGGTGATGCCCATGCCTTCGGATTTATGACTGTATTGTTTGAGTTGGACTACCCTTGTTTATACTTCAATTAACACGTCATGCATGAACTGCCCGGACAAGATGACATATGTGATAAGCAATTCAAACAATTCAAAAAAAAAACATGAGCTGCCCGGTGATGCCCCATGCCTTCGGTTTTATGACTGTACTGTTTGAGTTGG